AGCTCAGCCCACCAGGGGGCGGGGCTGGCTGGCATGTGGTGCTGGGGGATTGAACCGCGGTCCCTGTGCTTTGCCAAGCATGTTTCAAGTAGGTGCTTTAGACCACTGAGCCATCTCTCCAGCCCCCATCTATACATTTTTTACATCATGTACCAACCTAATTCCCATATGCTTTGTGTTTTTTAATAGCATTGAACTTTAGGTTAAGGTCTTGAAATATTGTACAAAGTGGAAATATTCCAGTCTTCCCCTGCACTAAACTTAACAGGAATTTCTTTCACATCATTCTTCTGAGACAGTACTGATGCTACTCCCTTTATACAATTCAGTGACACCCTCCCTCAAATATGGTCACTGGAATTTGCTAAATTTTATATTGCATGTTCATATCCTTCCTGTAGCTCTGTGGCACCAACCTTAATTCTTGTTAAGAATTAACTGTTGTCTCTCCCACTCCCTTGTTGACTCCAGGACAGCAGGAGTAAAATCCTGACAATGAGCACACTATTCACAAAAGTCAAAAAATTATACCAAAAAAATTCTCTGCATATAATTTCTGTAGCAGCACAAGCAAAATAAGGAGATGTCAAATCATTTTCTTCCATAGATTTCTAAATAGATTTTTAAAGGTAAAATGTCAGTGCTTAATAAATGTTAAATTTCATAGTAAGCATGGAATCTAGAAATTGTAAGGTGAAATACAGTTTTTCTTATGATAGAAATTCTTTCAGTGAATCTAGAAAAATGAATCAAAGAAACCAAGTGTGGGACTACATATTTCTAATCTCCACTGCCCAAGAGGCTGAGGCAGGAGAGTCATGACTCTGAGGCCAGCACGGACAACTTAATGAACTACTGTCTCAAAGAAACAAAATAAAAAGTGCTGTAGATGCAGCTCAGTGGTAGAGCATCCCTAGATTCACTCCTGTGAAACTTAAACCAAAGAAAAGTAAAAAATTTAAAGTACAATTTAGCAGACAGAGTGTGTTTTTGCAAAGGGCAATGTCACTGAGTACAGCAATTGAATTGCTGCTTAGTCAAGACTTTTCTTTGTCCTTTCATGGATGGAAGGACATAGAAGACAGGTGGAGATAGTCGATAAAGCACACTCTTACCTGTGTCATTGGTGATCTCATTCTCTGAGCAAGCAGTGCAATCAAAACAGCAGGAAGCCTTTCCCTCCTGAGGAGATTTCCTAAATCCAGGAGGACAACTCTCAGTGCATACAGAGTGAGGAATCTAAGGAAAACTAGGTACTTGCTGCTTAGTTCTCAGACATTTACTTAATCCTTTATAATTAGAATAATAGACTTAATATGTATACCTTTGTAATTCTAATTATCTGATGAAGTATATTTAATGACAGGAAATCATAAATATTTACAAAAGCATGATTCATAGATATTTTTACTTCAAATTTATAAGAAAAGTGGGTAAGAGCAGGCCAAATAGCTCAACGGATTAAACCACCTACCAGCAGGTACAGGAGCCAGGGGTTCAATCCCTGGGCCTGCTGTGCCAGCCCCGCCCCCAGGGTGCACTGAAATGGCAATTGAGACTGGGCATGGTGGCAGGCACCTGTAATCCCAGCTCTTGGGAGGCTGTTTACAGGTGGATCACTATAAGTCTGATCTAGTAATGAGACCCTGAAAACCCTGTAGACCCTTCCCTAAAATACAAAAAAAAAAAAAGTGTGGGTAAATAAGAAAGTTTTTATGCTAAAAGGTGAATTCATTGTCCACATGTGACTATTTCCTGGCTGAGGGTGAAAGCACCAACCTCACAGTCAGCTTTGGAGTATCAGTGTTCCCTGACATGCATCGTGACCAACTCCCACATACCTCTGTACTTTCTATGTCCCATTGTATCATTTCCTCAGATAAAGATAGCTGTTGCCCATATGCAACATACGGGGAGAATTCCTCTACTTTCATCTTTAGTCTAAGACCATCTGGAAAATTCCAAAAGTTGAGAATGTCAAACTTTGCATCCAGTTTTAATATTTTTTCCAATTTCACTTGGTCTCCAGCTGTGTTGTTAAATTGGATGCTCTTCAGAAAGGAGTGAAGCTGAAAGAGATACATCATCTTCTGATGAAGAAGGGCTTAGACATACCTCAGAAAACCTGAATGTGTGACAACTTGATGCTTCTTGTGCGGTGATTAACCACTGAGAAGATAACAGTGTTCAATGTATTAATTATTGAAAATGTCCTATTAATCAACTTGGAAATTGTCTCATTTATATTTGTTTCTCAATAAAATAAAAAAGAAATAAATAAATAAAATTAAGAAACTTAAAA